ATATGACAGGGTGACGCAGCTGGGAGTTCTGGGAAAGCTAATCAAGTATTAATATATTCCATGGGAGGAAGACTGGAGGTGGGAGATGCAGCATGGAAAGGAAGCTTTTATTTTTCATTTTGTAACCTTCTATACTAATCATATACATATAATTTTTTTAAAGCTAACAAGTTATCTAGGCTGGTGAGATTTATAAGCAAGTTTTTCTTTCTGTAAACTTCTCATTAGTGCAAGAAAACTTATAAGCATCATGCATAAAATATTTTCCTCAGGTAAATAATGGGTTGGCAATTGCGGGATAACTATACAGAATTGAGACTCATTTTTTTGGGTGTTTTTTGTATCTTATTGCTCGTGTCTTTAAAGTCACACCACACATGTGCTGACATACTCATATATGCAAGTGGTACTGGCAGAACACTTTAAATACATGCTTTGAGTTGTTTTTGTCTGACTGATGATGGATTTATGCTGAGCTTTTTTCTACAGTAAAAAATACTGGTCTCTTGATCAGAGGGAAGGAATCAGAGCCAGACCAAGTAGCCAACACATTTCAACTTATGACCTTGGCCTCATCATTTAACCCAGGGTTTCTCGACCTTGGCACTATTGACATTTTGGGCCAGATAATTCTTTGTTATGCAAGCTGCCTTGTGCTTTACATTATGTTTAGCACCATCCCTGGCCTCTACCCGCTAGATGCCAGTAGCATTCCCCACCAGTTTTGACATGCAAATGTATCTTCAGACATTGCCAGATGTCCCCTTGGACAAAATTGTCCCCATTTAAGACCCACTGATCTAACCGATCATGCTCACCAGATTCTGCTTGACTAGATATAAGTGAAAAAGATGTAAAGAGTAATAGAGTGATGGTTTTACGCTGGTAGGCTTCCTAGGGGAGGCTAACTTGCAGTTTGTTTTAGAAATAGGGAAGTGGGAAAGTCTTCATCGATAATTTGCTCCTTTTTCTCCACTGTCATGTTTTTGCAGGGCGTTTGAACTGGTGGGTGAGTGTGGACCCCACCTGTCAGAGGCTGCTTCCTTTGGCAACTACTGGAGATGGGAACTGCCTCCTGCATGCAGCCTCTCTTGGTGAGTCTTGAAAGCAGTCCTTCATTCCCCTGTAGAAAGGAAGCAATTGAGTCAGATCTCATATATGTGACTTGATCTAGCCAACCTTGATCTTAGGCAGAAGCGATGGTTCAGAGCAAGGTTGTATGTGTGTATGTGTGTGTTTGTGTGTGTTGGCACAGGAGGAGATGGGAGCAAGCCTTACCCTGGGTTTTCAGTCTTGTTTAGAGATGTGAGGAGAGCACAGAGATTAACTTGGGCCTTGCTCTGAGAGCTCACCCGTAGAAGTAATGAGCAACAGTTAAACAAGAGGTATATAGCTCTACGTGTGTGTGTGTGTGTGTGTGTGTGTGTGTGTGTGTGTGTGTGTCTAATTCTACTTACCATGTATTCTTTTGGCGTATAAAAAGGTTTTCAGCAGTCCTTTGTGATACTTACTTACTTTAAATTGTTAAGCCTGTTTGTAACTCAATATATTATTTGCCTTTAGCTTTTAAAAAAAAAGTCCTCATTTTTCCATCATCCCTCAAGCTTTTATGCTGATTTCTGTGCGCCAGGCCAGTCTTACCTGTTGCTACTCTGTATTTTAGTTTGTTAGACTTGCTTCAGGAGTAAGAGCTTCCTGTCAGGAGTTTGTGGGATGTGGTATATCCCCCACTTTCAAGTTCTCTGTCTTTGAACCTCCAGAGTAGGAACATCTTTTCTTTCTTGATTATGTACTTCTTCCCTAAATCACAGGTTTATCAAAACCTGGGCTTTAGCCTGATTTCCTTCATGCCAGGGTCTGTGTATCATAATTGGTAAGTGGAATTGAGTCAAGGTAAGGTGTCTTACGGTCATGCTTTCTTGCCACAGGGATGTGGGGGTTCCATGATCGGGACTTGATGCTGCGGAAAGCTTTGTATGCACTGATGGAGAAGGGAGTCGAGAAGGAAGCGTTGAAAAGGCGCTGGAGATGGCAGCAAACACAGCAGAATAAAGAGGTGGGAGAGCTTGGGTGGGAGCACCTTGTTTCCCAAAGTCACCCAGTGCCTACCAGTAAGAAATATCTCCAGGTATTTAGGTCAGTGTTACTCCCTTTTTAATCCTGACAATTATATAAAATGCAGATAATAACATCATAGGGTAAATGCCTTCTGGTAGTCATGAGACCTGGTGTGGGGAAGCTGAGCTCTACAGAGGAAGTAGCTAACTGTGCATTTTCACCTGATAAGTGCTCAGTAGCCTTTAGGGGCAGTCTCTTGCAAAATTAGATATAATGATTCCATAGGATTTTTGTATCGTTTTGTTTTTTTGCTTGTAATAAGGCGAGACCAATTTTTAAGGACATATGTTTTCAAACCTTATAGAAATTGACATACATACCATTTGTTTTTTATATGCTCAGTTTTAGTTTATTTAAAATTTCAGAAAACATCCCTGTTACATTGAGTTTGAATGGTACTCCTCAGGGATTTGGCAAATGGCTGTTTTTATGTAAGAAAATAACACTGGATTGTTTGTATTTTCTATCTCCATAGTAGGGGTTGGACTAACTATGACTGTTTTGTAAAAAAAAAAAAAAAATTTATTGGAACATAGTCCTGCCTTTTTCATGTATGTTCACATATGTTAACTGCTTTACTTCTACTATAGCAGGGTTGTAATATATAGCCTACAAAGCCTAAAGGTATTTACTATCTGGTCTTTTACAGAAAAAGTTTACCTATCACTTCCCTTTCCTCTGGTTCTCTCTCTGTCTTCTGTGTTTGTATCTTCTGCTCTTCATGTATATCTGTTTTTTGCCATGTTTATGGCTGAGTGTTTCTAGTGTTGAATATGGGAATATCTCTTCGAAGCTTTCCTTTTTCTTCCATCTTCTTTTTTTCTCATTTTATTACTTTATCATAACTGGAAAAATATAGAAGTAAGAGATTTATTTATTTTAGTTATTTAGAATTTTATATCCTGATGATTTAAAATATGTAAGTAAAATATGTTATGTTTCTTTCTCAAAAACAATGAATCCAGTTGTTAAAAGTAGGATGATATTAAGATCAGCATCCTGTCCTTGGTCAGCCAATCTGCCTCAGAAGATTGCTGAGGGAATAAAGTCGTAGGGGCAAAGCCACATAAATGACATTCTTTATTACCACCAAAAGCTGGGCGAGACCTTGTGGAAAGCTTCTTTTGCCTGAGCTAGAGCCAGCCTAGAATTTAGAACCCAAAGCAAATCAGTAGTCAGCTTTGCCTTCTTTGCTCTGTTGAGTTCAAATCATACCTGAACCTTAGGTTGGACCACTGAAGAGACAAGAAAAGACCAAACCTGAGCATGCCAACTAATTAAGTAGAAATGATAGAAATGGTGGCTCATGCCTATAATCTCAGCTACTCATGAGGCTAAAGCAGGAGGATTGCTTTAAGCCAGGAGTTCAAAAACAGTCTGGGTAACATAGTGAGACCCTGTCTCAAAAAAGAAAGAAAGAAAGAAAAAGAAATGATAGTAACAGAGAATAGGTATGCCCCATTCCAGTTATTAAAGCTATTATAGTTGTTATTTTAAAGATGGGGTTAGATTGTGATATTGTTTAACCAGGAGACCCAGAAATACCCAAGTTCTATCTTTGGTCAGTCACCCTTTCCTCTCAAACTCCCCAGTGGAAATACATGAATAGAGAATAGCAGCTAGTGAAGGAGCAATTGTTTTATTCCTTTTGCTCAGCACAATGTAAGTTCCATACTGAAAATGTAGCCTACCTAATTGTCTTAACTTAGACCATTCATACCATTATACTCCACCTTGGGAGTGATAGCTCCCTAGGACCAAGTACCAAACTAAGTTACTTTTGATTTTCTGGGCTTCCTTGTTTTGTGTTGAAACTGGTGCTAAAGCTCAGTCAGAACATTTTCTTAAGTGTTACGACTAGAAGTGTACACCACCTAGTGGCCGTGTATATTAAAACAGGAAGCAAAAGTAGGTGAGAGGAAGAGGGAGACAGATCCTGCTGGATGTGTATGTCAGAGTGACCAGAGCACCCCATATATAACCTGTGTGTTGTTCTCTTTAGCTTTAATTGAAATAAAATTTGTGATAGCATTTTACAAATTGGAAATAGCTTTGTAATTTTCTTATTATTAAAGTAAAATGTGCTCACAACAGTTCTTTAATTCCTATTAAATTTGTTCCTGAGGCCCCTCATGTTTTCAGTGTGAATTCTTTTACTTTGTCAGTGTGCATTTAAAAGTGTGAACTTACTTTACTACTAATATCAGCCAAATAAAATTAATAAGGTAAACTTGTCTTCTAAATCATCATATACATTCTGAAGCCAATATATTTTAAAATTGCTTATATCATTGCATGCTCTCTTTTGATAAAAATTATAGTTTTACTTAGCACATATTTATTGATCACTGGTCATATAATAGGCACGGGGAAAATTGCATACAACATGATCCTTGCCTTTAAGAGTAGTAGGAGGAGATGGACGTGTAAATACAAAATTGTAACAAAGTATAACATGTATGACTTCTATGATAGAAGTCTGTATAGCAGTTGGGGAGAGAGGGCACAAAGGAAGGAGCGGTTGATCTACCAGGGAGATTTAGGAAAGACTGCATAGAGGAGTGTTACCTGAGTTCTGTCCTGTAAGTTAAGTTGTTCACCAGGTGGATAGAGCGTGGGCTGCTCCAGGCAGAAGAAACAACTTCGACAAAAGCTCAGAGGTATAAAACAACATGGTACATTTCAGGAACTAGAACAAATTCAGTGAGATATGAGACTAGAGAAGTGGTTAGGGGCCAGAAAGTGGGCTTTGTGTTTTTTTTGGTTTTTTTTTTTTGAGACAGAGTCTCACTCTGTTTCCCAGGCTAAAGTGCTGTGGCATCAGCCTAGCTCACAGCAACCTCAAACTCCTGGGCTCAGGCAATCCTACTGCCTCAGCCTCCTGAGTAGCTGGGACTACAGGCATGTGCCACCATGCCCGGCTAATTTTTTCTATATATTTTTGGTTGTCCAGCTAATTTTTTGAGACAGAGTCTCACTCTGTTTCCTGGGCTAGAGTGCCATGGCATCAGCCTAGCTCACAGCAACCTCAAACTCCTGGGCTCAGGCAATCCTACTACCTCAGCCTCCTGAGTAGCTGGGACTACAGGCATGTACCACCATGCCTGGCTAATTTTTTCTATATATATATTTTTAGTTGTCCAGCCAATTTCTTTCTATTTTTAGTAGCGACGGGGTCTCACTCTTGCTCAGGCTGGTCTTGAACTCCTGACCTTGAGTGATCCTCCTGCCTCGGCCTCCCAGAGTGCTAGGATTATAGGCGTGAGCCACCGCGCCTGGCCCAGAAAGTGGGCTTTGTATGTAACAAATAAGGAATTTAAATTATATCTAATAGATGGTGAAGATTTTTAAAAGAATTTGTATCAGGAAGCAAACATTATCAGATTTCAATTTGAGAAAACATTTTCAAGTAGCATTGTAGAAATGGATCAGAAGAATACAAGACTGGAAGTAGTAAAACCAGTTAAGGGTGCGTTGTAGTAGTTCATGCTTAATAATTGTTGACTGAAGGGATGCAGGTGTGGCGTGAGTGAAAGAAAGAGAGGGGATAACTCCTTGGTTTCTAGCTTGGGTGTTTGGGTAATAGTTGGTACTATTCACTAAGGTATGAATATAGGAAGAAGAGTGGGTTTAGGAAGAAACAGAAGTTCTGTTTTGACTATCTAGAGATGGAGATAGCCATAGTCAGATGGAAGTCTTCAGAAGGCAGCTGGATATATGAATATAGAAATTAAGGGGAAATCTGGGCTGGAGAGGGACATTTTAGAGTCATGAACATATAGATGATAGTGGATGAGATTATGGCATTAGAAGAGATCCCAGAGGGAACCAAGGCTAAATCATTGCCACAACACCAATATATTTGGAGGAGACAGATTTCAGAGAAACAGGAGAAAGTAGTATTAGTGGAAGATAAAGGAGAAGAAAGTTTAAAGAGGAAAACAAGCCACATGAAGGTGAAGAAAGATGAGAACCAGAGAGTCCACTGAATTGGGCAATTAGGAGGTGACTGTCCTTTGCCAGAGTCAGTTAGGCAAAGTGGTATGTGGGAGGCTGGTGATAGTGTAGAGGGCAGAAACAGAAGCCAGATTACAATGGGTCAAAAAAGAATGGAAGATGAAATGTGAGAAAGATCATAGACTATTCTTTTACGGATCTCGACTATGAAAGAGAGAAGAGATTTGACTTCGTGGTACAATTGTCAACCAAGTGCTAAGAGAATAGAGAGTGGAGTAACAGTGAATAAGTTGGAATGGGTATTGCCTCTTAGAATCTAGTCTCTAATTGCTTGATGTCCCCTGTCTGTCTTCAACACAGTCAGGGCTGGTATACACAGAGGAAGAATGGCAGAAGGAATGGAATGAACTGATAAAGCTTGCCTCAAGTGAACCCCGAATGCATCTAGGTACCAATGGAACCAACTGTGGTGGGTAAGTATGACTAAGCAGGGGAGCAGGAAATAATCTTTACGAAGTTCTTACTGGGCTACCGCAGCCCAGTGTCTAGAGAGCTCTGGGCTAAGAGGATGTTAGAAGGAAAGACAGGAGCTATGGCAATGGCACAAAAGTGTATAACAGCATGGTATGTTCTAGGAACTACAGGTGTATTGCTGGAATATAGAGTATGTGGTATGAAATGAGAGATGAGGCTGGGTAGTCCATTTTTTGTGTGCCATGCTAAGGTGTGCCTTCCGCCATGCTAAGGAATTAAAATTGTGTCCCATCCAGACTTTGGAAAACTGTAGGACAAATGACCCAGTATTTTCAAAAAATAAATTGCAAGGAAAATAAAAAGGAACAGGGAACTGACAGGTTTAAAGACACTTAAGAGACATATCAACCAATTGGAATGTGTGGACATTATAAGACAATTGGGAACAATGTCTAAATGATTATTGTTAAATTCTTTTAAGTGTGAAATTAATGGTATTTTTGTTTAAAAAAGCAGTCCTTTATTTTTTAGAGATAGAAACTGAAATATATATGGATGAAATGATACGATGTCCAAGATTTACTTCAAAATAATCTGGTAGGATGGGGGTGAAGGGTGATAGGGAAATATATTGAGGTATAAGTGAAATGAGATTGACCATGTGTTTATAATTGTTGAAGCTGAGTGATGGATACATTGGAGTTTAGTATAATATTCTTTCTAGTATTGAATATGTTTAAAATTCTGAAATTTTTCATTATAGAAAATTAAAAATTATAACCTATCCAAACTTTGTTGTGCATAAGAATAATCTGGGAGAATTATTTAGAATGCAGATTTCTGCCAGGTACAGTGGCCATGCCTGTAATCGCCACACTTCGGGAGGACAGGTGGGAAGATCACTTGAGGCCGGGAGTTCAAGATCAGCCTGGGCAATATAGCGAGACCCTGTCTCTACAAAAAACGAAAAAATTATCTGGGTGTGGCAGCACAGGCCTGTAGTTCTAGCTACTCAGGAGGCTGAGGTGGGAGAATTGCCTGAGCTCAGGAGTTTGAGGTTACAGTGAGCTATGATCAAATTATTGCACTCCAGCCTTGGTGGCAGATACGCTGTCTCTTGGGGGGGGGGAAAAAAAAAAGAACAGATTTCTGGACCTTTACCCCAAGAAAGTCCAATCGAATTAGACTGAGGTAAGGCCCATAAATCCATGTTTGTAACAAGCACCCAATATTGAATAACATTAGAGGTTGGGAGACCATTGAATTTTGAGTATGTGAGTAACAGGAGCAAATTTGTCAGACTGTACTTGCACACACTGACATCAGAGTGGGTGATGAAGTGGAGAGGAGTGAGACAAGAGGCAGTTGTAGTAATTAGGAAAGAGGGCCGTGGATATGAACCAGGTCGTGGATTGAAGATAGGCCAGAGGAGACAGATAAACATGTGGGAGATGGAGTTGGTCAAGCCAGGAGATTAATTGAAGATGAGAGATAAAGCACAGTAAATATTTCACAATTTCTGATTAGGCTTATGGGTAGATGGTGAGGCCGTTCTTTAAGTAAAGGAACACAGGAAGAGAAATTTTGGAGTTTTTTGGTAAGATATGATGAGTATGATGTGTGGGTGGTTATGTATAGAGTAAGCAGGATGAGGCTATGCAGTTGTGTATTAAGCTACTAGATACAGAGAGTTGGGAGAGGTTGTTGAGCAGGATGAATATTGAGAGATAGGAATTACCTCCAGATACCTTAACACCACTTTAACCCCCAAGCCTTCAAATCTCTTTTCTTGGATTTCCCAATCTGTGAAACTGAAGTAAAAACAGCCATAGTAGCATAAAGTAATCATATCAGTTGGAAAACGAAGAAAGGACAATCCTCTTTTTTCTTTCTGCAGAACTGGTCTTCAGGGATCTCTTGTTTTTTTTCCCCCTCTCCCTTCCACTGCATCCTTTCATTCTCTCCCCTCCTGCCGTTCTAGGGTGGAGAGTTCAGAGGAGCCTGTATATGAGAGCCTAGAAGAGTTCCACGTCTTTGTTCTTGCTCATGTGCTCAGGAGGCCCATAGTTGTTGTGGCAGACACCATGCTGAGGGACTCTGGAGGGGAAGGTGAGTCAGCCAGTCAATCCTCACTCTACCCTGAGAACCCCCTTTCTGCAGAGCCTTGGGCTAAGCATTGGGAGGAAGGCAGGAAAGGGGATATATAGACAAAGTATAAATTAGAATAATGCAAAATTCTCAAGAGATTCAGTGTAAAGCAATTGGAGTTAGTTGACAGGCCTTCTTAGAAAAGAATTATTAAATGAGATGGAGTGAAAGGAGCACTCAGTTGGCAGAGTAGGGTGGAGGTATTGTCCACTGGGCAAGGACATAGCCTTATTAATAATCTTTGTGGTTTCCTGCAGCATTTGCCCCTATTCCCTTTGGAGGAATCTATCTGCCTTTGGAGGTCCCAGCCAACCAGTGTCACCGCTCCCCTCTGGTGCTTGCCTATGATCAGGCCCACTTTTCTGCACTTGTTTCCATGGAGCAGAAGGAGAATGCCAAGGAACAAGGTGCTGAATGAAGTGTCTTTTGTCTGCGTTATCTTTACTTGAGAAAATGGAATGAGAGCTAATGTAAGAGGAAAGAATTAAATGACATGCAAGCCCAGACCTTGTATGTTGATACTGTTTTACTAAATTATAAGATATACCAGGGTTTTCATTAAAAAAAGAAAAAGGTTTGGCGAAAAAATATGGTCTGTATTTCCTGTTGTGGAGTAAAGGACTTAGGTATGAAGTTCGTATGACCTTCTAAGTGATTCTTTGCAGCATTTGTCTTAATGATGACTTTGAATTCCCTGAATACACGTGAATTGGCAAGAACATCATGCGAGTTAGTTGACTGACTGATAAGGAGTCGTGGAGATTTGTGTCCTAAATCGTATACTGGGTGGTAGGGGAGACTAGCTAATTGGCTTTAATGCCAGAGGTAATTCATGCATAAGAATTGAAAAGTGACTATAAGTAGAGGCCTGTGGTATGCTTTTAGTGAAGTAATTCTGTGTTCAGCTGCCTTCCTCACTCCTCAAGGAGACTCCTTAATGGCATATTTTTTCCTCCCCAGCTGTGATCCCACTTACGGATTCAGAGCATAAGCTGCTGCCCTTGCACTTTGCTGTGGACCCTGGAAAAGGCTGGGAGTGGGGGAAAGATGACAATGACAATGTCCGATTGGCCAGGTGAGGCAGGCCTAGCCTTTTCATTCTGCTTTGTAGCTGGGATCTCTATCACATGCAGCATCCATTTCCCAGGTATTTTCCCTCAGCTCGGAGGCAAGACAGTCACATCCTAACTCCAGTGTGTTTGGGAAGATGGAGAGGTGGAAGGCAGATTGAGCACCAGGACTCTTGCATTATGCAGCTGCTTTTTCTCCCTGATGGGAATCCTGGGATCTCGATTTGTTCTTCTCTTACAATAGGAAGAATGTTCCTACACAGATACATCCCAGAATCCCCAAAACAATGATCAGAAAATCAAGATAATCAAATCACTACTTTTTATCCCAGCCCAAGTGAGAGGGGCTTCAAATATGAATAGTTGACCAAAATAGTTTGGGTTTTTGCCTTTCTGGAATTTAAACAGTGAGCAAGAAAAATACCTTCCTTCCTGCTCCTCATCCCCATTCTACCTCCCTGTAGCTTGTTAAGGCTTCCTCCTGTCCACAGCTTCCCTATGAAGAGTGTAGGAATATAAAAGCTCCTGCTCCCTTACCTCTTACCCAGTGCTTCCTTCTCTGGGCTCCTGCAACTGGGTCCCAGCTAAGAGGGTTTGATTTAAAAATCCAGAGTTTATGGATTATCAAAAGCAAAAGCTCTTCTAAATAATATTTATAGCCACAACAATAGCAATGGCTACTGTTTAGTATTTCCTGTTTTTTAGACACTGTGTTGGGCCCTTTCCAAATAGTGTTTTAATCTTCACAACAGCCCCACAGGATACATATTATTATTTATACTCATTATCGACCCCAGCTGAGTTTCAGGGAGTTGAAGTGACTTGCTCAAGGTCATAAAGCTTATAATTGATAGAGCTATAATTCAGACCCAACCCTGTTTGAGTCCCAAGCCATGTAGCCCTCTCCCACCCTTCTTCCCAGCCATGTCACACTGCTTTGCTTTTAAAAAGTCACAGGAAGTTTTTCTTTTCTTTTCCTTTTCACAGTGTAATTCTGTCCCTAGAGATCAAATTGCATCTGCTGCATAGCTACATGAATGTGAAGTGGATCCCACTATCCTCTGATGCACAGGTGAAGACTCTGCCACACCTGCCCTGGTGTGTCCTCATTTTCAGTGACAGGGAGAACAAGGAGATCTGGTAGTGATCTTCTGAATCTGAGTGGTAGCTTATGATTCAAGGTTAGAAAATGTCAGATTTTTCCTGCCTTTTCACCCTTTAGTCCCCTTTGTTTTCCACATCTCCTCTCCAACCAGGCTCTGATTGCTGATACTAAAACACATTCTTTAAGAAAAGTTTTCTGGACTTTTTTTTGTTAAACTTGAGGTTATCATTACTTTGACCCAAGCCCTCTGTAGATAGAGCTCTGTTTTGGACACCAGACTGAGACAGAATAGCTTAAAGAGCTCCAGATTCCTTGGGTTCTGAGCTAGATCAGGAACGCAGGAGAAAGGGCAAATTGATGAACTCCAATGCTGAATGTGTAAAAGTTGAGGGGATGCAAAATGGTTAGGCTTGGTTGATTGTAATTAGTCAAGACTTCCTTGAGATTAATTTTGAGCAGAATTTGGCATAGAGAAATTTATAACAAAGAACATTCTAGTGTCTGGGCCTCTCACCAAGAAGCCATGTGTTGTACAGTTGCTCATTGCTATAGAACAGTCAAGTTTTCATTTTGAAGTCTCCTTATTACTGAAGGGAGTCAAATTGCAGTGGGTGAGATAAATGTTAGATATCAGATACATCTTTTCTCGGCCCATAAGAGAGCTGGAGCCGGGGAAGGATAGTGCCCTCCAGGGTGACCCATCCCCCATCATGACTGCAGCCCTTCTCTGGAGCAAGGCAGTCACTAGGTGGTCACTCCAAGGATGGGGTTCATAAGAGTGTTACCACCCTTCTTCCACATGGCCAATTCCTATAGCAGTGGCTATAGGGAGCTCACCCATCTAGTGAGAGCTAGATGGGTGGGGTAGAGGTCCCTGGGGGCTTCTCCCACCCAGATCAATGAGATAACTGTCAGCACTGTTTTTGTCTCTTGCAGGCTCCTCTGGCTCAGCCTGAGTCCCCCACAGCCTCAGCTGGTGATGAGCCCCGGTCCACTCCTGAGTCTGGAGACTCAGACAAGGAGTCAGTTGGCAGCAGTTCTACCAGCAATGAGGGCAGCAGGCGGAAAGAGAAGTCCAAGCGAGATCGGGAGAAGGACAAAAAGAGAGCAGATTCTGTGGCTAACAAACTGGGCAGCTTTGGCAAAACCTTGGGCAGCAAGCTCAAGAAAAACATGGGAGGCCTGATGCACAGCAAGGGTTCTAAGCCTGGAGGGGTGGGAACAGGGTCAGGGATTAGCAGTGGCACTGAAACACTGGAGAAGAAGAAGAAAAACTCACTGAAGAGCTGGAAGGGTGGCAAGGAGGAGGCAGCTGGGGATGGGCCAGTATCTGAGAAGCCCACATCTGAGTCTGTTGGCAATGGAGGGAGCAAGTATAGCCAGGAGGTGATGCAAAGCTTGAGCATTATGAGGATTGCAATGCAAGGGGAGGGGAAGTTTATTTTTGTTGGAACCCTGAAGATGGGTCACCGTCACCAATATCAGGAGGAGATGATCCAGCGCTACCTTTCTGATGCTGAGGAGAGATTCCTGGCAGAACAGAAGCAGAAGGAGGCAGAGAGGAAGATCATGAATGGAGGGGTAGGGAGTGGTCCTCCTCCAGCCAAAAAGCCAGAGCCAGATGGCGGGGAGGAGCAGCTGACTGCCCCCCCAGCAGAGTCTAAGGCAATGGCATTCTCTACTGGCTATCCTGGGGGCTTTACTATCCCTCGACCTTCTGGGGGTGGAGTCCACTGCCAGGAACCCCGGAGGCAGTTGGCAGGGGGTCCATGTGGGGGGGGCCTACCACCATATGCCACCTTCCCCAGACAGTGCCCTCCTGGGCGACCCTACCCCCACCAGGACAGCGTCTCTCCTCTGGAGCCAGGCAGTCACTCCAAAGATGGAGTTCACAGGGGTGCGTTGTTACCATCCTCCTTCCGCGTGGCTGATTCCTATAGCAACGGCTACAGAGAGCCCCCTGAGCCAGATGGATGGGCTGGAGGTCCCCAGGGGCTTCCCCCAACCCAGACCAAATGCAAACAACCGAACTGCAGCTTCTATGGACACCCTGAGACAAACAACTTCTGCTCCTGCTGTTATAGGGAAGAACTGAGGAGGAGGGAACGTGAACCGGGTGGGGAGCTACTGGTGCACAGGTTCTGAATGGGTGGAACCTTGGAGGGCAAGGTGGCTAAACAAAGAAGATTAAGCTCAACTAATTGGCTCATCAAGACCCAGCCCCCATGTTGACGGGACAAATGCAGTAATATTTGTGGGAGCCTGGCTGGAAACTTTTAAGTGTGTGTGCGCTAGAGGGCTGCCAGGCTGGCAAGAGCAGGTCAGGGCTGAACGGCGCCTCAAGGGCTGTACTATTCCTTTGCAGAGCTTGACTTGATGGGACTAAGGAGGTACAAGGGGGGAAAGGTGGTGATTCTGTCTTATAACCCACCTTGGGTCCTATCCCAGGACCTAAGGAAAAGTAGTAGGGGAAGGATTGGGGTGTGTGGGGGGGAGGTGGGCAGAAGTCTGGAGGAGGAATAGGCAAGGAGATCCTCAGTAAAAAAAAAAGAAAAAAATAGACCAAAGTTCTTTAGGTTGGAAAAAAGCACATGGTGGTAGAATTGGGAGTGTGGAGGGAAATTTGGAAATTGGACAAATTTGCTATTGATTTGAATTAAGGTAGAAATTAGGGTTGTATAAATTCTTCCTCCTGAGATCTGGAAAGGCAAGGCAGTGTGCTTATGGGTGTTTGTTAGGAGGGAGGGGATAGTTTAAATCACAGTTTATTGAGATGGGAAAGGGAGGAACTTAAAAGGGGAATCGTTTTCCTCTTGAGTTTTATTTCCTTCTAAACAGTCATCTGTCATCAGTTCTAGTTTGAGAGGAGATTGCCCCCTATCTTTTCCTCATCCTTTCTGAGGGCTGAGCTCAGCTAAGTTAAGAAGGGTTATGATTTTTTTAAAAGAGACTTTTATTTAAAAACAAAAAAGTTCCCTTTGGGAAGGGGAAGAGAGTGATGAGAAGAGCAGCTGTGTGTGTTGACTTTTCTCCAGATGAATTGGTGCAGAGGTGATCTGTTTTTTAACTACTTAGCAATAACCATACGTTGGAGTTTGAGTGCAACTTGGGGAGGGATGGGGGGAATGGCAGACATTTAGCCAGACTGTTTCAAACAAAACCAAAAACCTAAATAGAGCACTACCATCCTCTGTGGTAACTGGCTGCTGCATTTCTGTAGAAAGCAACTTATTTTATTGACTAATTTTTTCTTTAAAGGAAAAGAAACAAAAAGACCCCAACAAGCAAAAACATTTTAAAAAGTGATTTTTTTTTCCTACTTAAGTGATTCTTTCTCCTTTCTCTCTACTTTTGGAGAATGAACTTAACATTCTGGCTTCTTTTGTTAAGCCATAGCTGACCTTAATCTGTGGTTAGTTTATTAAAATAAAAAAAATACTTTGTAAGAAGAGATATTTTTGATAATAGGACTGATGTTGAAACATGGGGCGTGGGTTGGGGCAATTTATAAAAAGGTAGTTAAAGAAGTATATTTTAGTGAACTATCACCACAGATCACAGATTACTCCCAATGAGCTGATCTGTCTTTGGATTTCTCCCTTTCCCTGGCCCAACCCTCTTCTCTAGAGGGTGGGAGTGGGGATGTGGACACAGTACGGGGAGCTCCTTTGCATTTTGCACAAAGCACAAGTCTGGACAGTTTATACTCTGGCCAGAGCCATTTCTAAGAGCTTTAAACTGGAAGACCTATCCTGGGCCAATTTTCCTTTTTCTTTATATTTTTTCTGGGAAAATAAATCAGCTATGCAATTGTATCCACTCCTGGGTGCATACGAAGAAGGAGAATAAGTGTACTTAAGTGTCCAGAGTATTACTGGGGCTATTTTTCTGTATTTAGATTTCTCTTTTGAGTTATGTACTCATAATCCATCCCCTGGAATGTAATCCCCACATTTGATCTAAGGCACACATGGGCCAGGGATATGTGTGCGTGTGTTGCGGGGGACTCAATTGCAAATGTTCCTTGTGCCCAGTCTGGAAAGTGTTCAATCCCATTCTTCCTCAGGAACAAAGCCAGCCAAGACTGGCCGCCTTGCTGGAACTGCTCACAGTTTAGAAAGATTCCTTTCTCCTCAGCAAACTCAAAAGTCACTTATTTTCCAAATCTGATAGTCTGTTGATTCAATCATTTCCTATGGCTATTAATTCTTAGGCTTTTATTTGAAAATAGATTGCTTATAAAGATGATGTTCCAAAGGAGGGGAAGTCTCTGGGCAGATCTGGAACCTAAGATGAGATGAGCACTCCTCTTAGGCGCAGAATTTAAGGGGTACCAAAAAACTGAGTAATCAAGATACTTTTTTAAAACTGCGGTATTTTAAAAAATTAATGTGAAAAAATTCATGTTGAACAAAATAGCAGAATCTTAAAGACAGGATCTGACAGGACCTTGATTAGAGTGAGGGAAGTGAGGCTAAATTGAGCAAGTATGGGATGAATCCTGTCTTTATTTAAATTTATGATACATTGTCCATCATGGATTTTTTACATTATTTTTGATTTTTTAAAAAATGTTGCATTGAAATAGTATTTATCTTGGTTACTGGGGTTTTGGGCACCCCTTTAAATTTTGTGCCTAAGGTGAGTGCCTTGCTCACCCCACCCTAGTCCCTGTTTCTGGTGTCTGAACAACACTGGTGAGACCACTACTGTGTGACACCTCCATCCCCTATCACACACCAAACAAGTGGCTCAAACACCCTCAATTTGCATGGCTCACCTAACTCTCCCTAAGGCCTATCATAAGATGATAGGCCTGAACCAATAGAAATGGAAACAGACCAGGGGTTTTCCCAGAGAATAAAACCAGAAAAGTTTGATTCTCCACTGGACTGCCGTGTTTGGATTTGATCCTTAGATTCTAGTCAATACTTTTGTTTTTAAAAACTAAGGACAAATGAACAAAAACAGAAACCTTGCATCGTGTTTGTTTTTGTTTTTATTTATAAATTAGCCAATCCAATTCCTTTGCCTTCTTTTCAAAGAAAAAAAGATGGAAATTTTGATGGGTGGTTTAGGGGTTCATATGGCAAAATAGGGCATTAGGCCCTATAGCTTTTTATTAAGAAATTATTTTTTATTTGGGAAGGTAACTATTTATTGAGGCTTTGAAAAGCCTCTCCATTCTAAGGATGATGGACCCTGAGACAATGGATATTTTTTTATAGTGGATAGTGAAGTTTGTTTTGCTTCATTCTTTGGAGGAGGGGTTGAGTGGGATGGGAGGTAAAGGAATAATGCCTGGGAAATGAAGACAGATCGGCTGTGGTATTTTGGGAAGATTTGGGGGTGGAAGAGGCAAGCCCATGCAGTTACTATGTTGGGGAGAAGGAAAGAAGGGGTATGTTGTAAGCACTCAAAATGAGCAAAAATTCCTTAGTTAAGGAGGGGTATGTGAGTGAAGGGGGAAGGGTAGATGCTGTAACCCTATATGAGGGATGATACCATCTCTCAGGCTTAAATTTAAGTGCACTTAGTTCCTTTAATCCAAGGCATCTGCAGTTCCTACTGAAGTTTTTAACGAAAGGCGGAGATTTTCAGGATTCTTATTTTTCCCCTTTTGATTTAAGACAGTGCTACCCTCCCTGCTACATTCTCTACCCCATCTCCAATGGAGCAAGTATACTAAGGATTGGTCTCTAAATCTCTTCTTTAACCTATGCTGGTTTTATTGAAAGTTACAAGACTTAACCAAAAGTTTTTCCCCCATACTGGTTTTTATCAAATAAAAAGATTATATAAAAACAATTTTTTTTAAGGTTCAGTCTCTTTAAGGCATGGGGATAGTGTTAAACAGTGCTGTACAGAGCCTTGGAAAGGAAGTATCTTCCCTCTCCTATTGGCTCAGTTTCTTCTCAAGCAAAACTAAAGCCCACAGACTACTAAAAAATTAGGAATGACTTCATATTGTATGTTTGGGAGGTGATACTGAGCCCAAAAGAACGGAACTGGTTGTGAATGAATTCTGAGAACCTAGCTTTTGCCATTCATACTTTTAACCATGTGTCCAAGGTTCCAGTCATTTTTTTCTCAATAAAGGAGTATTTCAGAGATGATTGTCCTTAAGTTACTCAGTCACCTCTAGACTCTGTGTCCTTTTTCTCCAAGGAGTCAGTGCTGCAGACACAGCCACAGGTGAGAAGACAGAATTAGAAGCCCCTAGAATCATCTGCACCCCAGATTTTTCTAATTTCCTTTTTTCCCTCCAGGCCTTTCAACTGCAGATTCAGATGAGTCATACAGGCACTCTGTTTCTTGTACTTTGCAGATACTCAGTCTGCAAATCATATGGTGTTTTTCCCCCTACACTTAAGTCGATTAACAAAATATTTATTATGATGTCCCCATGTAGACTTTCTTTGAGCCACCTCCCTTTATCAGCCACACGCATAAGGGGCAGTAGAAAAGAACAACGGAAGCTGGCTGTGGCAGTAGCTAAGAGGAGTGGGGATGGGAAGGACCTTGGCCTCTTTCTGTGCTTATAACTGGATCTGTGACTCATCTTGTGAGTCACTCAGCTCCACCTCCCTCCTCCAGCTACCCCTCCTAGCAGCCTTCACTCCTGGCACAAACCTGCAGCCAGACAAGGATTCTGAAAATGGAAAAATCTGATATAGCCCCTTGCCTCTCCACCCTTCCTTTTATCCAGTAAACTACTGGGTGTATGTTGGGGGTGGTGAGAGGTAGTCTTCCTGTTATTAACCCTCAGCTACTGCCCCTTTGCATTCCTGGTTAGGTGCTGACCCAAATCACCCAATTTATTTCTCCCTCTGATTCCCCCCACCCCCCCCACCCCATTCCCCTGATGGTTTTTTTCCCCTCTGTATTCCTCCATTGTTTCCATACCTCCAAGTATTAAAGAATAGAATGAGGCTCTTGAATGAAGGGTTGTGGGGAGAAGGAAAGTGGGTAATGGGATTTTAAAATTGTGGTATACACCTCCTACTGTACTCTATTTTCTTATGACAGCAGACCCTGGGAAGTATTTTCTTCCCCCAAAAAGCCGAGGCCCATGGGATGCAGGGGGGTGAAGTGGGATGGTGGTGCTCAGTAGCCTTTAGGACTTCCAGAATCAGGCTTCTGGGCCACCTTCCTAGCAGGTGTATACCTCTTTGTTCCAGACTGACTTCCTGTCTCACAATATTTCACTATTTCCACAGGTGCAGCCAAGACAGGCCAGAAGGGTGTGTGCGCTGGGGAAAGGGGAGGGTTGAATGTCACTTTGGAAAACTCGGGTCCCCCACCCAAGGATTGCTGCCTCTGTAGACTCAAAAACAATAAAACAGCAGCTCATTAACTCTTATTTTGTATTTTATTTCATATCTAAATAAAGATTTTTGCATTGCTGCCCCCAAGTCACCCTTGGCAGCAGCTCCTTTCCTTCCCTCCTAGTGGCCCCCCATCTTTCCTTCTTGGGTTGCAGGGGGAAGGGAGGGGAGATGGAATTGTTGAGCTGAAGAGAGGTTTCCAGCCCTCAGCTTTGAAAGTCCTGAACATGAATCATTCATCTGGAGATCTGGTGTCTGGGTTGGAGGGGTGGAGTCCTGTACCTCGAATGGGCACTGATTGCCAGTTGGTTGGCTGTGTTGTGTGTCTGTGTGATGGGCAGGGTTGAGGGGTTAAGATCTTTTCCTTTTCCCACCCCCGTCCCCAAGACTTGCACACAAACATACCTGTGCTGTGCATTTTGGGCACATTTCAATTTTTCTCCGTACTTGTCCATTGCACTCCACGTGAGATACGTTTCATGCGGTGAGGAGATTCAAACTACTTTTACCTATGCCTCCACCCGCTTTAAGAAGACAAACAGACAAACAAACAAACAAACAAACAAAACCCTGAGCTTCCCAGGGAGGTCACTGAGAGACTCCAGAGAGGTAGCCCAAACGATTGCAGTCCAGCAGTATCACTGCTCCCTTCAAACAGCCCCCAATACTCATGAACAGTAAGAGAATAGGATCTGGGATTGTCGTAAAGAAGGGAGTCTGGATATTTTTCTCCCAGTTCCCCATTTCCCCCCATCTTTCTCAGGCTCCTCCATTTCCTCTCCACTTTTCCAAAATTGTGTGTATTCTCCTTTAAGGGGCTGGGCATCTCTCGCCCTTCCAGCCTTTCCAGAGTCGACTGAAGTTTCCGAGGAGCCTACTCAGGCTGGACTGGACACACCTTTCAAAAGCCCCCCAAATTGTGCTCCGTGCACCTCAAATGCTCCTTTTCCTTGTCTCCAACCCCCTGCCCCTCTCCCTAACGTCCCTCTTCTCTACAACAAGAGTCAGCTTCTCCTCAGGGAGCTGAGCATCCTTGGAGTTTCCCACCCTTAACTGCTCCGTCCCCGGATGGAGCCAGAGAAATGTGGTGGGGGGGCCGGGGCCAGAGTTTCAACATTGCCCCCCAGAAGGAGGAGCCAGAGATGGGGGTAAGGAGAAGGAATTTGGGGGGTCAGCAAGAGGGTGAGGTGGAGACAAAAGAGGGGGGAAAAGGGATCTAGAGCAGGAGGAGGGTGTGCCTGTCATGTCACCCTTCGTTTAATGGAGCTCGGTCTGCCTTTTTCATAGTCTCAAGTTCGTCCTCTCATTATCCATTAACCAGCCCCTCCCTTCGCTGTCTGCCAACCCCGGTCCCGTCCTCAGCTCCCCACCGATGCTGATCTCAGTTTCCCTTGAGTGTCTGAGCGTAGGCCTCCCAAGGCTGCTACCGAGGTCCCCCCAGAGTTGGGGGAGCCGGGGGTTAACCCTGTACCCTTCTCAGCTTTCCAGACCAAAGTCTGTCCAGGGAAGCAGGATGCCGGAGCTCAGGAGTCGTCATCTCAGCGGTTGCTTGGCCTCTCGATGCCTCCCAGGTAATAATACCCTTTCAATACTTCTGATCTCCGAAGGCTCCTCCGAATTTCATCCTACAACAACCTCACTTCATCCCTCACCAGAGATACCTCTGCATTCCTCTCCTGGCTCACAGTGCTTCTGCCTGAAGCTGGCTCTCTCCTCTATTTACCGCTGGCTGAGAGCTTGGACTTGATATTTCCTCTGTTTTCTTCACCCTGTTACCCCTTTTCCCATTTACTTATTTAGTAAATACTTGAGTGTCTATTATGTGCCAGGCCTTGTTCTAGTTACAGAGGTAAAAAAAAAAAAATACAAATTCTCTTTCCTCATGAGCTTACACTCCAGTGAGGTTAGGGGAAGATTTTAATCTTCCCTCTTTAGATCCCCTGTGTCAGAGGAGTGGGGGTACTCAAGTGGGGGCAACACTGGGAATAGTGATGACCTGGCTTCCTTTCTTCCCCTTCAGGGGAGCAGATCCTAGCATGGGCTACAGGAGTGAGGAAGGGGCTGGAACCTGAATTGTCTGGAACCCTGATCTGTACAAACTTTAGGGTCATCTTCCAGCCCTGTGGATGGCAGCGGAGTCAGGTGAGATGGTTAGAGCAACAGAAAGGACAGCTTTCTGTGGGAAATGGGCAGGGGAGTCTAGAAGGCGTTAGACAAACATTATGGGGTTAAGGGAAGTCTTCTGACTATATCAGCGATAGTCAACGGGGACTATCTCTAGGGGCGTTGTCCCCTTGAGGGGGCTGGGGGCTGCCAAGGTAGGAAAATGAGGTTTATTTCAGATATCTGTAGCATCAGTCATGTGCTTCCTCTAGGAGACTCCCCTGAGCAGTGAATATGATTTTGCCCTTGTCAACATTGGGCGATTAGAGGCTGGTAAGTGTGGGGGTTTGGTGAAGGAGGTGTTGGAACCTCTCCTCATCCTTCCTCTATTCTCAGAAAACAGCCAGGGATGGAGTGGGATGGGCTAGAAGAGTTCCTTCTAGAGGGACCCTGGTCCATGTTACACTGTTCCCTAACTCTTGACTTCAGTGAGTGGCTTGTCCCGAGTCCAGCTCCTCCGTCCAGGGTCCCTGCTCAAATTTATCCCTGAGGAGATTCTGATTCATGGCCGAGACTTTCGGCTGCTCAGAGTTGGTTTCGAGGCTGGAGGACTAGAGCCTCAGGCTTTTCAGGTAAGAGGCCCCTAACCTGAGAATCCCTCCTTTCCTTAGAACCTTGGGATCCTCTCCCTGCAGTTCCTAATCCTCCCCCTCCCCAGCATCCCTCTTGTCATTCCCCCTGCTTCTCTCCTTAAGGAGAGGCAAAGAGGCCGAGATGAATGATAGCATAGTGAGAGTAAGGCCCCTAAATTCTGGCCTGGTTCTGCCAATTACCAGCAGTGTCACCGTAGGCAAGTTTTCTCCTCAGAAAAATGGGGAGGGTTGGATGATATTACTCTAAGATTCCTCCCAGAATTAACATTCTATGATTGTGCAGTTCTAGATTTGTTCTCCTGACCCCAGTCCCCATCACCCGTGGAAGCCCCTTTCTCTGGAGATTGTCTTCACTGTTCTTCTTTATTGGGGACAAAGACTTTGGAGCAACACATGGGCTCCATTTTCTTCTTTTCACTTACTCAGTCTGAGCCTGTGGATGGAATTTCCTTTCCTGCACAGGTGACCATGGCCATTGTCCAAGCCAGAGCTCAGAGCAGTCAAGCCCAACAGTATGCGGGGATAACCCTGAGCAAGGCTGGTGAGTGAGGGTGCTTTGGGTTAAGGAAAGGGTAAGGAGTCTGAAAAAGCAGAGGCTGGCTCAGGAAAAACAGCTAAGAAGCTGTCTCTGGTTCCTCTTCTTCCTCCTCTGTGCTTCACTCCTGCCCCAGGCCAGGGTTCTGGTTCCAGAAAACCACCTATTCCTCTCTTGGAGACATCAGAAGACTGGGAGACTGAGCGGAAGAAGCAGGGAGCCAGAGGCTGGAGGGTCAGCACTGTCAATGAGAGGTTCGACGTAGCCACGAGGTGATTCCCCAGTCCACCCCAACACCTGCTGCCCTCCCAATCTTCCCGTGGTTCCCTGATCCTCTAAAGCTAGGAATTCCCACAAACTCCAGCCTCCCTGGACATCCACAAATCTATCCCCCTTACCTATTGGATCTTTAAACCTGAGACCCCTTGGAATGAATGGTCCCTCCAAAGTAGATTCACAAGGAATTATAAGAATAACAGTTTTACTTTACAGTGAAGTCATGGAGCCAAGCTGTGACATCACTCTCAATTTTACAGCCTTCCTCGTTACTTCTGGGTGCCTAATCGGATTCTGGACAGTGAGGTCAGAAGAGCATTTGGCCATTTCCATCAGGGCCGTGGACCGGTCAGTGTGAGGGTTAGGGCAATGGCTGGGGATTAGAATCATGGGAGGTTGGGGACAGCGTGGAAGGAGGGATCCCTGTGAGGTCAGTGTGGGGGCAAGGGTAGCTTGGGGCTAGGAGTTTCTCTCACAGCCATCCTCTTCTCACCCATTCAAAGCGCCTGTCCTGGCATCACCCTGGGGGCAGTGACCTTCTCCGCTGTGGAGGCTTCTGTACAGCTAGTGACCCCAACAAGGAGGATATCAGGTGAGGGGAGGTTTGATGAGAGGAACTAAGGGTTAGGTATTCAGAGCAGACTCCTCTTATTTCCTGACTCCCTCTCCTCCAGAGCAGTAGAGGCAATGCTCCAGGCTGGGCATTCAGATGTTGTCCTGGTAGACACTATGGATGAGCTGCCTAGTCTTGCAGATGTCCAACTTGCCCACTTGAGGCTGAGGGCCCTCTGCCTGCCTGGTGAGAATAACCTTTGACTCCTCACCCTCACTCCTACGTCTGCTGACCCTAACCTGTTTAGCCTTTTGCTTACCACAGATGAGTAACCCTTTAACCCAATGATCCTTAGTTTTCTACTCTACTCCCTTCTCCCACAGACTCACTGATTTTTTGTCTTCTTGATCTCAACTTACTCTTTTTAAAACAGCTTTACTGAGATATAATGTTCATATCATAAAATTTACCCTTCACCCATCTTAAGTGTACAATTCAATTTGTATTTACAATGTTGTACAACCATCACCACAATTTAATTTTAGAAACCTCATGGCTATTTAGTTACTTTTCATTCCTATTGTCAACCCTAGGCAAACACTACTCAGCTTATTCTTAACCCATCAGGCTATAGACCTGAAACCTGCATCCTGAGTCCTCTTAATCTCTTTGCCCTTCCAATCCCTCTACCCTCTATCAGATTCATCTGTAGCTGAGGATAAATGGCTTTCAGCCCTGGAAGGAACACGGTGGTTGGACTATGTCAGGTACTCTCCCCCTTCTTCTAGCCATCATTTATAATTCCACCTTCCCCAACCTTCTGTTAACTTGGATTCCTAAATGGCCTTCCATTAACTCTTCTTGGTTTCCCAAGAAGACTTACTTGCTGCTCATTAGAAGGAGAGGGGGAAGGATTTTGGAGTCTGCCTCTATTCCATCCCATTACCCATGACTCCATTCCCCCAGGCTTATCATTCTTCTTCTCTCTTCCTCATTTGCCCCCCACCCCCAGGTCTTGTCTCCGAAAGGCCAGTGACGTATCAGTATTAGTAACATCCAGGGTTCGTTCTGTAGTACTTCAAGGTGAGTTCCTCGGGTCAGCCCACTCTGTTCCTTGCTGCTTCCCATTATCCACCTGACAGAATTCTGTTCAGGGAGACCCATAAGGCTTACTCCTCTCCTATTCCTGGGAACTACACATGAGCTCTAACTCTCATCTTTTTGTGCTATCTCTGCCTCCCCACTGCAGCTTGTGGTCCCTAACACTAGGATGTTCTTAGCCGCTCCGTTCCCTTCCTTCCATCAGTGGATAGGGACTGGGGTTGGGGTGGGAAGAGCAATGAGGAAGCTGGTTTGAGAATTGTGATTCTGCCATCTACATGTGAAACTGGGTATTTCTAACCAGGTGGAGTCTATGAAGTGAATTATTCAAGGTCTTTTTTTTTCTCTTCACTTCTACGTGCTCACTCAATCCTACCTGCCCCCAACTTTCGCCCTCTGTGCCTCTCACTTCTCCTTGCCATGTTTCCTCTTCTCATTCTCTCCTGCCCTAGTTTCTTGGACCCCCCTCTTTGTCCCCTCTTCCTCTTTATTACCCAGAGCGCAGTGATCGTGATCTCAATGGCCTCCTCTCTTCACTCGTCCAGCTGCTTTCAGCTCCCGAAGCCCGAACACTGTTTGGCTTCCAATCACTAGTGCAGCGAGAGTGGGTGGCATCTGGACACCCCTTCCTGACCCGGCTTGGGGGAACTGAGACCAGTGAAGAGGTGAGAACAATTTGGGAGGCTATGGAGGAAGTTATTACTAAAGAAGTAAAGGAATGAGAAAATTATATAGTGCAATCCATTGAAGGTGAATCAGGTTAGAAGTGTCCTGAGGTTAGGCTGAACTTGAAGACCCAGATAAGTCAGGCCTCACACCTCCCTAGTACCCTCAGTTCAGATTTTCATTCCCTGACCTCTTTAGTGCCTCCTGTTCTCTGTGTACCCCCATCCCCATCATTTTGTCATCGTCCCTCTTTAGGTCCCCACAATCCCTTCCGAGCTCTTAATTTCTCTCTTCTCAGGCCCCAGTGTTTCTCCTCTTCCTTGATTGCATATGGCAGCTCCTCCAGCAGTATCCAGCTGAGTTTGAATTCTCTGAGTTTTTCCTTCTTGCTCTTCACGACAGTGTCAGGGTTCCTGACACCCTTACTTTCCTGAGAGATACTCCCTGGGAGCGTGGAAAGCAGAGTGGACAGGTCAGTGACTTCTATTTTTGACTTGTCTTTTTTTTTTTTTCCTCCTCATTGAGAAGTACTCTCTGAAGTTTATTCTTAATTTGTTTTATGAGAAGTGAAGACTGTGGGTGGGGAGGGGTAAGTTGATGTTCACTTTCAGGACAAGACTTTCCTCCTACATCTCATTTCTAGAATAAGAGGTGAAAGTTTCATGATTTGTCTCTAGATTTGAGAGATTATTATTTTGTGTGTGTGTGTGTGTAACCATCATTTTCTTGCTTCCTCTGTCCAGTTTAACTCCTATACGCAAGTCTACACCCCAGGGTACTCCCAGCCCCCAGCTGGGAACTCTATGAACCTGCAGCTGTCTGTCTGGGACTGGGATTTACGCTACAGCAATGAACAGATACTACAATTCCATAATCCTGGCTATGACCCAGAGCACTGCCCAGATTCCTGGCTCCCTAGACAGCAGGTGAAATGTCTAAACGTCCTAAATTCCTTGACATTCCCACAGGCTCATGCTACTAGATGGGGAGTAGAAAGACACAGTGTCTGCGTTCCTCAGGGGAAGCTACGCCACTCCTATTCTGCAGCTGGACTTATAGTCCCTGACTGTCCCTAGGAAGACAGAAATGCTAGAATAGCACAGAGGGCATCCTTTTTATCTTCCTCAAGTCTGTTTACTCATCTTCCTGCCTCATGCACACATTTTACAAGTTTCCCTAAAATCAACTTTAATCATTCCTGAGGCCTACTTGAAGCCTAATGAGGCTAGAAGATTTCTGAGGGGGAGGCTTGTAGTTCTAGTCACTAGTGCAGTGAGTGGGTGGCAGATGGACACCCCTTCCTGACTCAGATTGGGGAAACTAGGATTATCTGATTTCTCAATTGCCAGTTGATTTCCTTTCTCCTTTAGCCAAGCTTCATGGTTCCTGGCCCCCCCAGTTCTATGTGGCTCTTCTCTAGAGGGGCCCTGACCCCTCTGAATCAGCTCTGTCCTTGGCGGGACAGTTCCTTCCTGCTGGCCGTCTCTTCTCGTTGGCTCCCTCGACCTGCTATCTCTTCTGAAAGCCTGGCTGACCAGGAATGGGGGCTCCCCTCACATTGGGGAGCTTGCCCTTTACCTCCAGGGCTGTTACTGCCTGGATATCTGGGACCCCAGATCAGGCTCTGGAGACGCTGCTACCTGAGGGGAAGGCCTGAGGTTCAGGTAACAAGGGAAAACAGTGATTGGGAGTGGGAGAAGGGGCTTGACTGTTGAACCAGATGAACAGGAGTTGGAAAGGCAAGGGGTTGGGGGAATTGGGAAACGAAGTACACTCCTGTTGGTATCAAACTGGGTAGGTTTGAGAGTAAAGGAGATTGGGGAAACTACTTGTGGCTTAGATTAAGTGGAATTTAGGGCATGGATGGAAGGGGAAAAAGAACTAAAGACACCAGAAATAGTGGACATCTGAGAAGCAGAGAGCTAGAGCTGCAATAATATTCCTCTCTGCCCCTGTTTGTCTCCTCCCAAGATGGGCCTCTCAGCTCCCACAATCTCTGGCCTCCAGGAGGAGCTTTTCCATCTTCAGGAGCTATTAAGGAAATGGACACCAAGAATATCTCCTGAGGACCACTCCAAGAAAAGAAATCCAAACACCATTCTCTCCTAACCCCACTAAAATTACTGGCATTCTCAAAGGCAAGGCAGGGGGGAGCTGGGATGAGGGAGGGTTCTGTCTAATTCTTCAGTTTTTCTTGTCTGGCCTTGCTGTCTCTATTCTCACACTCCAGCCCTTGAATAAGCTCACTTAGTAGACTTGAGTTTCCATTTCAGAACGTGGTGCTCATCTTCTCCAACTCTTGTCCTGTGTTGTTTGGTTCCTGAAGCTACTTTTGTTTCTTGTGATTTGAAGAATTAAGAAACAAAAACAATCTAGAATGTGACCACCTCTTTTTTAAGGTCAATTCCATCCCTTTTGGATAACCAGCTGTTAAATTGTGAGATCAGAGATTCTGTTCATCGGTCCCAACAAGATGGCCTAGAGACTTCATTCTCACCCCTTTATGCTGCTTCTTTAATTCCAATTTCTATTTCTTCCCTTATAGTTTTCTACAGGAATGAGGTGAATATGGAGACACCCTGTCTCCCTCAACTCTGTATTTTTTGTAGTGGAATTTCTATTTAAGGAGTTCATTAAAGCACAGTATTTATACACATTGCTGGCACTGTTTCCTGTGTTTGAATAAAGGATCTTAGCTAAGAGTGGTGGGTAGAGTGAGTGTGACCCAAGAGAGGAAGGCACCCACTATATTACTGCTAAAGAAATAAAAGAATTGGGTCGGGTGAGGCTCTGCAAAAATCATATGCAATTAGGAAGAAGAGGTCTCTTTTCTGTGTTTTCCATTTAGAGGCAGACGGGGCAAGAGCAAATCAGGAAGTTGTGGCGGGGGCCTGAGTGTGTTCTGGAGGTCGAGACTGAGGCCTCGGAGCTTCAAATCCAGCCACCCCTCAGCTTTGGTCACACCCCATCTTGCAGCCTCAGATTCCCTCCAATCCCTTATCCCCTTCCCTTCCCCGCCCCCCACCGTCATGCAATTAGGACTAGGCGAGCTCAGCCATCTCTCCAGCTCAGACATTCCGCAATCTCCTCCCCTGAGGGAAATCGAAATACCTCGAGCCCAAACCAGGGCTGCGAGGCCAAATCTGCACAAAGACTGCAGGCGGGAGTGCAGGGCTGCCTCCGCGCCCGAAGGCGACCGAGTCCATGAGTTGGGGGATTCCTCAGCACATACTTCTCTGGGCAACAAAAGGACCACTTGCCCACAAAATACTTTTCAAGTAAAGTTTTGTTCTTTTAGCTTTCCAATTTACATTTTTGGGAGCGTGTGATTCTTTCACGTCTAGTAGTGCCTTAAGAGCGACTGAGCGTTTCCGTTCCGTCCTCCTCGCTATAACCACTAGTGACAGCACCTCGGTGCAGTTCCGAAGACTGAGCAGCCCGACCTGCGTCAAGTCTCAGCGGCTCCTAAGATGGCCGCGGTCGCTTCTGGCTCCTCCCCCGCCGCAGCCCCGCCTACCGCTCTCGTTAGCCTTCGCCCCGGAAGTGGAAGTAGTAACTGAGGTCAGAGGGCGGAGCCGCTGCTTGGAGACGGCGGGAGCACTTTCGCCATGGCTGCCGGTCCGATCTCCGAACGGAACCAGGGTAACTGGAAGGGACAAATCCGGAAAGGACCCAGTGGGGCTAGGAGGCCCCTACTAGGGCCAGCAGTGTTTCCCCTGCCTGGGTGGGAGATTGGACCCACCGCCCGAGAGCGCTCCCGTGCCTGCTGGGGTCGGGTTGGCAGAGTGCAGGCTGAGGCCTGTAGGTGTGATGCTTTTAAGATCCAATCCTCCCTGTAGTCCCAGCTACTTGGGAGGCTGAGGCAGAAGGATCGCTTGAGCCCAGGAGTGTGAGGTTGCTGTGAGCTAGGATGACGCCACGGCACTCACTCTAGCCCGGGCAACACAGTGAGACTCTGTCTCAAAAAAAAAAAAAAAAGATCCAATCCTCTGCTGCTTTTCCACTCAAACAAAAATCCACCAAGAAAGAATTTGCAGCAGAATACTAAGACTCCAGAAGATTCTTCGGGTCCTGGGAAGAGAGAGGTTTAAGGATCTAATCTAACGTTTTCTTTTTCTTTTTTTTCCTCTTTTGCTCCAATCCCCAATCTCAATTCCTCTTCCTGGGTTCTACATTCGTGTTTCCATCACCTCCTTTCCTGTCATACTTAACCCCTGCCCTCACCTCCTCCCAGATGCCACCGTGTACGTGGGGGGCTTGGATGAGAAGGTTAGCGAACCATTGCTGTGGGAACTGTTTCTCCAGGCAGGACCAGTAGTCAACACCCACATGCCAAAGGATAGAGTCACTGGCCAGCACCAAGGTGAGTTCATGGCAAAAGGTGCATTCATATATTGAGGGGACAAACTGCTCCTGGAGGGTCCCAGCAGTATTCACAATTGTTTTGGAATGAACAACTTGAAGATTTCTTTCTCTTAAGCTTTGGTTCACTTTGTTTCTGGAACCATTCTCAATTGAAGTGAGGTTCTTTCTTTCTTGTTCTTTGTGTTTAGAGGGTGAGTGAGCTAAAACCCATTTTGAATCACTTCACCTAAGTTGTTAACCTTCCCTTCTCCGCTTCCCCAGGCTATGGCTTTGTGGAATTCTTGAGTGAGGAAGATGCTGACTATGCCATTAAGATCATGAACATGATCAAACTCTACGGGAAACCAATACGAGTGAACAAGGCATCAGCTCACAACAAAAACCTGGATGTGGGGGCCAACATTTTCATTGGGAACCTGGACCCAGAGATTGATGAGAAGCTGCTTTATGATACTTTCAGCGCCTTTGGGGTCATCTTACAAACCCCCAAGATTATGCGGGACCCTGACACAGGCAACTCCAAGGGTTATGCCTTTATTAATTTTGCTTCGTTTGATGCTTCGGATGCAGCAATTGAGGCCATGAATGGGCAGTACCTCTGTAACCGCCCTATCACTGTGTCTTATGCTTTTAAGAAGGACTCCAAGGGTGAGCGCCATGGATCAGCAGCTGAACGACTTCTGGCAGCTCAGAACCCACTCTCCCAGGCTGACCGCCCTCATCAGCTGTTTGCAGATGCACCTCCTCCACCTTCTGCCCCCAATCCTGTGGTATCATCGTTGGGGTCTGGGCTTCCACCACCAGGTAAAGCTTTTGGTTCAGAATATGCTTGTCTTAGGGTTGGAGGGGAGGGGCAGGAGGAAGGAAAAAGAACCTGAAAGAGGAGGGCATTGAGTCAGTGGGTAATAGGAAGGGGATTGAGGGGTTATGGTAGTGGTAGAGGAGAAAGTTGTCAGGTTTCTCCAGGAGGTTGAAATTGTTTTGAGTTGTCTAACATTGTTTTGATTTTAAAGTGCTAGGAGGAGAGAAAAAGAGCTCACCCTGCCTGGAGAGGCCAGATATGGACAGGCTCTTTAAAGACATTTTATCCTCACTACCATTAACTGCTCCTCCTTCTTCCATTTCCTGTATAGGCATGCCTCCTCCTGGCTCCTTCCCACCCCCGGTGCCGCCTCCTGGAGCCCTCCCACCTGGGATACCCCCAGCCATGCCCCCACCACCTATGCCTCCTGGGGCTGGAGGACATGGCCCCCCATCAGCAGGAACCCCAGGGGCAGGACATCCTGGTCATGGACACTCACATCCTCACCCATTTCCACCAGGTGGGATGCCCCATCCAGGTAGGTTTTTTTTATTGGGAAAGGGAGGGATGAGCTTGGTAGAGAGTTTCTATCACCATTCATTTTGCTTCCCTTTGTTTCTCAACAGTAACAGTCTTGGAGCTCTCCTTTCCTTCATTCTTTTATAAAAACAAACACAAAATACTTTATTCTGTTTACATTAACAACTACTACCCTCTCCATTTCTTAAGTTTTTCTGAAGAGGAGACTATACTTGCTATTTTTTGTTTCCTTAACCTTTACTTTTATTCTCTCCTCTGACACCACCTCACAGCAGTGACCTAATTGCTAAGTCTTGGGAACACTTTTCAAATCAGACTTCTTATCTGGTTTGACGTTTGATGTATTTGAAACTAGCCATCTCCTCTTGTTTGAAATTCTAGTCTCTTTTTGCTTCTGTTTTTCTGGATTCTCCACCTGTCTCTCTGACTCCTTAATCTCAGCCACCTTGATAGGCACCTTTTTCTCTGCTCATGCCTAGATTTTGTGCTTGTTTCTCTTTTCTTCATATGTCTATGGTTTTAATTACATATACATTGATGCTGCCTCCTTGATTTGTATCTCTAGTCCATGGTTGTTAACATT